CCAGTCATCTGCCCAGTCTCCTCCTTCCTCTTCCTGATGTGCTCTATATCAATCTCCCTCTCTCTCGTGCCCTGTCTATCATATCATCCAGGGTTGGGCATGCCGAATAGCTGACATATTTCCGAATGTCAGCTCTCAACATATCATGGTACCGGGTTTTCTTCATCTCCTCATCACCCGTATACTGAGGCACCAACAAGGCCCTCTCCCTGAACTTGGCGGTGATCTCCGCCACCGACTCAGTAGTCTGTCTCATATCCAAGAACTCCCTGGCCAACTGTTCTACCTCCACAGCTGGCACAAACTCCGCCCGAAACCTGGACACAAAGTCTGCCCAGGTCATGGCCTCAATGACTGGGGCTCCCAACGTATCACTGAATGCCTCCCACTAGTCCCTAGCTCGCTCTCTCAAACATCCTGTAGCAAACCTGACCTTCGACCCTCAGGACAGAAGCTCGTCACCTGTGTAGACTCAATGTCTGCGATCCATCGTCTCGTCACAATGGGGTCTTTCACCCCGCAGAAATCTGGCACTCCGCATCCCCTAAAATCCTTGAAGGAGAGCGTGCGAGTCCCTGACTGGCCAGATTCCATGTCACTCCTAAATGCCCTGAGGCGATCCTCCATCAGCTCAAAGATCCTTTCCTTGATCGACCCGAAAATCACCGGGGTCACCTCAAGGATGTCTCTCGTAATCTCGGATGCAATAAACTCGTGCAATCCATCATCAACTGGCTCGGAACCAGTGCCCGAACCTGAACCAGACCCTGAACCTCCTACTCTGTGACGTGTCACCACCATTCTGAAACAAAACACACAATCATCAGGGTCATACATAACATCGAGAGGGCTCACACTCTACTACTCTTGGTTCCCTGCAACTCCCCAAGAGTCAAGTACAGATCCTATGCTTTCAGTAGTACGGGCCCATACTACCTTCCACATCTATCCGTACTGTCCCCTTGGTTTGCCTTGGTTTACCAAAGTCGCTTCCTATGCATATATACGATCCTCAATCAAATAATCTCTTATACTAATCTCATCCTAGGCTTGCCCTAGGGTAATCTCCGACCTACTCTCCGCCATCAGCTACGTAAGAAACCCCTGCTACCTCTCCCTAACTAGCTCGCGAATACCATTACATATTACTAAGACCAGATAATTCTTCGAATGAGAGGTCTCACACTACACGGTTAGGACTCAAACAAGAGCTACGCAATAGCGTTAAAACCTAACCCTCTAAAATTATTTAGTTCTCGTAATATGTAACTTAGTGTATTCGTTTACTAGTTAGTTAGAGATAACTAGAGTTTCTAATAGCACAAAGCAAGCAGCATTCGAGCATTGAGTAACCAAAACATGCATATCCTAATCAGGCCATCATATCACTGACTAATCAGTTCTAGCATGCAGTTCAAATAGCACATACAACAGGAATATAAGGCATCCTTCCTAGATCATTAGCCCTAATCTAGCATGCAATTCTCATACACATATAACAGGCATACAAGGCATCCTTCCTAGATCCTTAGCCCTAATCTAGCATGCAGTTCCCATAATCATATCATAATGTAACATGTATGGGTATCTTGGGGAAAACTTACTTGAGCTCGGCCGATTGCACGCATCACACTCCTTGTTCTTTCTCAAAAACCCTTTAAATTTTGAAAATTATTTTTCTTGTAGAAACCTTTCAAACCCTCGATTTGAGTTCAGACACCCCCGAAGGTGTATCCGAATCCCTCATACCAAGGCTCTGATACCAACTTGTAACGTTCCAAAATTCAAGACCAAAATTTTCATTTTTGATTTAATAATTTATAAAACAGTTTACTGAAAACATCATCAATGTCATCTCATATCATAAAATCCCATAAGGCATATATCTCAAAACATGTCATAGGATAATAATGTCAGAGTACAAATCCCAAGAATCTCATAGTGCGGAAAATCATGTGTGATGCGCTGCGATCATGCCGGCTCCTTTCCTTTCGAAGAAGAAGTACCTAAAACCAAAAACTGAAAACTGTAAGCACGAAGCTTAGTGAGTTCCCCCATCATACCACATACCATACAATAAATATACTGCCCAGCTTATCCGGGTGCTGGCCTACCCCTTCGGTCTCTTTCAACCGGATACTACCTAGCATACCTGGGTGCTGGCCTACCCCTTCGGTCTCTTTCAACCAGTAACCGCCTAGCATATCTGGGTGTTGGACTACCCCTTCGGTCCTTTCGACCGGTTATGGGGACTATTTCACCCCTACCACTATCACATAATATCCTAGCATATAAACGCATAAATAACATACTGCCTAGCATATATGGGTGTTGTCTTACCCCTTCGGTCCTTTCGACCGGTTACGGGGACTATGTCACCCCTACTACCACTATCACATAACATCATACCATACTAGCACATAGAACATAACAGATAGTGGTATACCAGACAATTATCACAAAGACAATCATCCAACTATCAACACCTACTAGTGGGTCGACATTGGTGCCTTAGACCCACTTCTACAGGAAGGTAACTCACCTCGAAATCTAGAAATAGCTGAAAAGTCCCCGACTCCGAGTATCCACCCAACTCAAACCCCTATACATAAAGGATTTCCTTAATTACCCTTTTCATACTCATACCCCCTTAAGGGTCAACTTTGGTCCAAGTCAAGTCAAAGTCAAAGTCAACGCTCCGAGTTGACTCGACTCGTCGAGTTTGCCCTTCAACTCGCCGAGTTCCTATAAATCATAAAATCATCAAATTGCGATCCAACTCGTCGAGTTTTCCTTCAACTCTTCGAGTTCCTCCTTAACTCACAGAATCGCGATATCTCAGGTTGACTCGTCGAGTCTTTCCCCAACTCGCCGAGTTTGGCCTTTATACAGAAATCGGGACACCTTCAAACAACTCGTCGAGTTCCTTTATGAACTCGCCGAGTTCCTCATGGTTCTTAATCTATTAAGCCCTTTTCTCTGATCTAAGGTTCCAAAATATATATATCTACATTGTTTTCCTCGTGCACATCCATAAAGTCGACATCTTGATGGTTTTGCATGCCCCAAATGGACTTAAACTCAAGATATAGCAACCTAGTTCCATGTACATGGTCTTTTCTTAAGCATGCAAGGGTTTATGACCTCTTTTTATGAATTTAGGGACCAATCAACACTGAAGGTAGCAATTTCAGCATCACAACTATGAGGGTTTATCATATTCCAACAATGGGGTCTAAAAGATCCATAAAACAACACCAAGAGAGATCTAAGCTATTAAGTACCAAGTTTGAGACTTTATACCTCAGAAAGTTGTCAAAGACGGTTGTGATCCCAGATCTAGTGCCTCTCCTCAAGCTCTATGACCTTCATTCACCAAGCACAAGAACACACAAAAATCCATTCAAAACCTCTAGTTTCTCAATAAGGAGCTCACAATACGATTTAGGGTTTAGGGAGGCTGATGAGGGGATGGTTTGGGGAGTTTATGTCCTTTAAATAAGGTGCAAAACCCTGAAAATTAGGGTTTCATTTCTGTCAGCCTACTCGTCGAGTAGGTTACTTAATCCGCGTCCCAAATCATCTCTACTCGAAAAGTCTGGGGCTCCCAACTCGTCGAGTTCCTCTACAAAAGTGAATGAATTATGATTTTAAATACATACCAGGAACCAAGCGTTACAAAAGTCTTCATAAAGTTCGATCATTATACATAAGGTTTTAACCTTTTAAGTACTCATGACAATACATCATATATTTCCCCCACACTTTTAAGACATGCCATACTTTTGATTAAACTAATCAAAATTTCATGCTTCTTGCTCCCTCTCATTTTATATATATAAAAAAAGAACATAAAGTTTATAAATTTTGTACTCTTTTATAAAATAAACACTTTGGCTTTTGGCAAAAATATAAAAATCTTTCTAGTCCAAAATAATGTACATACTTAATAAATCATACCATATGATATATATTATGTTACTTGCTAATGAAATTTATTATTTCCAAGAAATAAATAATTTCCAATTAATTATAAGAGTTTATTGAATATTTATTAAAATCAATTTCTAATAAATAATCAATTGTATTAGAGTGTGACCCATTAGTATCATATGTTAATTAGCAATATTATTTTAATATGACTCTTGAGCATACAAGATCTTTCAATCTTCCACTAACGCAAGACTCATATTAGATTGATATAGACAGTGGTGAACGCCTAACAACATTTCACTGCCCCCAACAACATACAACTTTGTGCCATTATATCAACGCCCAATTCCCCAGAAGCTCAAAGCTACAATTGGTGTATAAGGTAAGTTATCGGTTATCCCTTTGTCATAGACATCATGTTGAACATGAGATTCAGATCGCGATCAATCTCATATGGTGTTCAACTTTTGGTAAGACCCCTTAGATGTCTAACTCTGAACACATAAGAGGAACAAATCCCATCTTGACTACATAAGCCTCTTGCATATTTCACACCATACCTGGAAATGTCTTTTATAACTACCCGGTTAAGGATCAGCATCTGACCATATCAAAACACATCACTCCCTACAAATGACATGAAGGTCACAAAGACCAAAATACAACCATTCATACAACACATGTGTCAAGTTGAGGTTTGTTGTATCAGACCCATACAATTCAAAACAAACAATTATTTTGAACTTGAATTACAAATTTTAGATTATATTCATCACCATAAGGTTCAAAGCAAGTTGGCAAACTATTAATTCTATGATCTCACATGCAAGATATCATTTAAGCAGGAATGTCTCAAATTTATCTTTTATTTAATCAGAACTAAATAAATTAAAAAAACTAACAAATAAGGTGATAATCAATTTTTATAAGACCATCTCCTTTGCATGAATACATTAATCTGAATCAAATGCATAAAGTGTCGAAGCATACTCATACCAGAAAAATAAAATAAAAAGTTTGAATATGTGAATAGTGGCTGAATTTGTTTCTTAAAAATGTTATTAGACATGGACCATTTATGTAAGTTTGTAAAATATGCGGACTATTTCTATAATTTTGTCTAAGCGGGGACCATTTATATAGTTTTGTAGGAACATAAAGACAATTATAAATATGATATTACATATGGACCATTTGCAGTTTTTCTGAAATATGGGGACCATATATAAATACTTTCTATTAAGGAGGGATAATTTTTAAAAAATTTTACACATCGGGTCTAATTCTATAAAGACAAAATTTCACGGTTGGTCCCTGTGGTTTACAGAATATCGCACTTTGAGGACTTCCTAGCAAAAAGTCATGCGACTGGTCCCTGTGGTTTGTAAAGTTACATGAAAGGTCCTCCTGCCGCTAAATCTAACTTTTCACTGTTAGATTTTAATGAAAAAGACTATTTTGCCCTTGTACCAATATTGCAATACACTACAAACCTCAAGGACCATTCGTGTAATTTTCTAAATTTCAAATATATATATATATATATATATATATATATATTATATATATATATATATATATATATATATATAATATATATATATATATATATATATATATAATATATATATATATAGGGGAGGGTTCATGCGAAATGCAAATAATTTGCGAAAATGCGAAAACAAGAAAAATCTATGATATATATATATATATATATATATATATATATATATATATATATTATATATATATATATATATATCATAGAATTTATATTTATAATTTATAAATATATACAAAATTTCAGATTTATAAAATTACAGAAATGGTCCTTGAGGTTTGTAGTGTATTGCAATATTGGTACAAGGGCAAAATAGTTTTTTTCATTAAAATCTAACGGCTGAAAAGTTAGATTTAACGGCAGAAGGACCTTTCATGTAATTTTACAAACCATAGGGACCAGTCGCGTGACTTTTTTTGTTAGGAAGTCCTCAAAGTGCGATATTCTTTAAACCACATGGACCAATTGTGAAATTTTGTCTTCTATAAATTTGCTTTGGCAAGGGCCATTTTTGTATTTTGTTGAATTGTAGGACCGAAAACTCCATTGACCACTTGTTAAATTTCATGAAAGATTAGCATCATTTTTATAAAATTACAACACATTAGGGACGAGTTATATAAATATGCAGGACGTCTTAAATGTGTTTGCATTGTTTTTGAACGGCGAAAGATTTTTATTAGAACAAAAAGATTTTTATTAGTTATCTTTGCTAATTTTACAAGTCTTTCTATAAGTCTTTCAAAAGAAGGTACGGAACCGTTTCGGAGATAAACTGAAAAAGTCCTTGAAAATGAAAAACATACAATAAATAAAAAACATGAACCCTAGATCATGAAATTATAGTGGTTGTTCTGACCTCGACGAACCGCCTCCTGCTGTTGCCGTTTGTCTCTCGATTTTTGTTATCAGGTAAATCCTCCGATTTGTTTTGCATCTTGTTTTCTGCTCTTTGGTGCGTGACTGCGTGTAAACCCTCCCTACATATGAACAATTGGAGGCATAAACTAAACTCGAAATTACAAGATTGGGTTTTTCTTGTAAGTTTGTAATTGGGTATCAGTCGATGTTTGTTTGTATCGATACCAAAAGAAAAATTGAAACTTTTTGTGGCTTTGAAGAGATCTAAGGCTATTTGAGGAATGACTCTGGGGTTTATTTCATGGTTCACCCTGCCTCATATCGCCGTTTTCCCCCTCGGTTCTCCTGGGACGGGTTGACCCAGCTAATTAGTTTTACTGGTTTTGAAGAGATCTAAGGCTATTTTGGATGTTGTTTCAAAAAGGATATGACCCTGGCTATCTCTGGCTATGAGTTTTGGTTGAGCTGTTACGGTATTTGAGTGATTGTGCAGCTAAACATGATTTCAAATTGTGTTTTGTATGCTTTTATTTCCAGTCGAGTGCTATTGTTGCATATATAGCAAATTGGAAGAAAAAATCCCTACAGCTTCCCTAAATCTGTTTGTCAGCAGGTAATGGTACACTGTAAATGCATTAGACTGTATATATATATATATATATATATATATATATATGCAAATCTGCTGTTTTTTGGTTTGATTTAAAGATGAAAAGCTAAATGTATATGCAATTTTTTAGGCATAGCTGTACATCATTGTTGGTTTGGTTTGGTTTGATTGAAACAAGTGTAAGTGATTTTCGGTTTTGGTGATTTCAACTTTTATATGTATATAAGATAAGATGCTTGTGGAAAATTGATGATTTTTTTTTTTTTTTTTTTTTTTATATATATGAGATTTAAGGTATGAGACCAGAAGCTGAGGATGCTCCAGAGTTGATGCAGAATATACAATCACGGTTGCCAGTAAAAGGAGCGGCCCGCACGAGCGTGTTGTCCAAGTCATGGCTACACGCTTGGTCTACCATCCCTATCCTGAGGCTCGATGTTCGAAGAGGAAAGAGCATGAAGTTGGTGGACGGGGACCGCACTCTGATTAGGTATCTCCGTGACAACATACCAATCGAAAGGTTTGATCTTATGATCGACATCGAGAGCCAGGAGTCGGCTTCTCATGCTGAAAAATGGATCGGGGCCATCGCAGCCAAAAGTTGTCTTAGAGAGTTGTCCCTCTCAATCGATATTGCTCTTTTGCGTACCTCGTTAACATTACCAGATGAGATACTCTCGGGTGAGAACCTAACTAAGATAAGAGTTTCAGCTTCGAATGGAATCCATTATGTTTGGATGACGACTAGCTATCATCCTGTGATCAAGTGTGTCCCTACGAGAACTGTACTTGAATGGTGTGCGCATAAGTGAAGAGGCACTCCATGACATATTGTCGTCTTGTAGCTTGCTCGAGAAGATAGAGCTTCTAGATTCTTGCAAGGGGTTCAAGACCTTCAAGGTTAAAAACCTTCTTCGACTTTACGAATTACGAATAGATTTAGATGCTGTTCACTCTACTGCTTTGGAAATCAGTGATGTCCCAAATCTTGGCGTGTTTAGCTACGATCTACATGTTTGCAGACCACATATGCCTATTATTCCTTTCAACGCCCTTTCAATATCATTAGGACGCAGCGTGACACGATTAATGTTAGGTGGCGTGATAACAGACAACGCGTGTCTCGAAATGATCAAAACGGAATTTCCTTTTCTCGAGAGTTTGACGCTTGATATGACATCTTGGATGTTAGGAAGCTTCCATTTCACATGTGCTTCCATCAAGAGATTGTCCTTGCTGTCGTGGCGACACATGCTTATCGATGTACAAGTTTATGCTCCAAATTTTTTTTTTTTGAGTTTGGTGGCCACACATTGCCTAGTCTCTTATTTCCAGTCTCGTCTCTCAAGCAAATCAAGGTTTCGCTCTCACTCAACCCACTGATTGATGCTAATTTTTTTCTTAAGATGAGGGAAACACTCACGTTATCACGCATGTGCTACCTTAATATAAGAACTGACAACTCAAAGCTGCCATTGGACATTGATATCGATGATCTAAGAACAAGGCTCCTGTTTCCTCCTGCTAGGAACGTGCAAAGAACTGGCGTTTCAAACGGTAGCGGATGAATGTCTGTGGGAACGATCCCAATTTTTTGATGCATTCTTTGAGATTTGTCATCCCAAGCATGTATTTGCAAGGCCAGACTCCCGGTTCAGACACAACAATCACTTTTGCAGGCTCATGCTGAGGGAGATCTTGGAGAAGAAGACCAGAATCGCGTATTGGCCTCATTACCTGAAACATGTTCAAATAAGACAATATCGTCATCAGAAATGGAAAACCCTAACAGTTTCCCACAGATGCTTTTTAGATGGATCGGCCCCTGGTGTCTACATGTACTTCAAACTAATGTGGCGTTAATGATCATCTCTGGCTGGGTTCTCTGTTATCTGTTTTACTATTTCATGCTTTCACTTTTTTTCTTATCCTATGTTTTACAAACATGTATTTGCTTAAAACGATCCGAGAGGTAGCTTCCACACATGTTGCTTTTGTTAGTATTTGCTTTTACTAGTAATTAATTACATGCTTACTTCAATTCAGTTTGACGTATAATCTAGTTTGTTTTTGTATAGATATGCTCGTTATTTAGTTATGATGTTTACAAGGGAAAATCACATAAAAGCCATTTTAGTTTGATTAATGTTTAACTAACAATTCTCTTTGTTTAAAATAAACCACCAATATTTTTTTATAAATTCAATTGTTACCAGTATTATATGTTGTTAGTTATGAATATTCTTTTTTCTAAACAAACCACTCGTGTACTAAAAAAAATCCAATAAAAAGAAACCACTCAAATACTCAAAAAAAAAACCCAACCGGTAACTTTTTTTTGTTGGTTCCTAAGGTTGTTTTTTTGGATCAGGGCCAAAAACGAAACCTTTTGCAAATAAGGTCCTCATTATTTAGTGTGTTTTCTTAGCAATTTCAGTTCACATGTTAAACAACACTACCTCAACGCCGACTTTTATGTGTGGTAAACCCATCTCTCTCCTCTCTTGTTGGTCATAATCGTCGATTTGCTGTTTTAAATTTACAACTTCTGTGTAATGTAAGATGAATTGTGATTTGAAATTGATATTTTTTAGGTTGTTTTTGAAATGTCCACCAATTTTATTTTTGTTCTGGTCCGGTCCCTGTAATGTAAGATGAATGATTGAGTTCTTAGTTCTAGATTTACCCATATAATATTGTGTCCATGTCGGAATATTTTTACTTAATTGATCGATTTAACAATCATGGATATAACTATCGTGGGTTCTATGTATTCCGATTTGTGGATTGTTAAGTACACTTGCTCTTTGAAAACTCCATGAATACCTATTCGTCAATTCACATTGTCATAGCAATAGCTAATCTGTTGGTTCGAATTATGATAGTTTTACACAACTTGATAGGTTTTTATGTGGTAAGAGCATATGGTATGGGCAACGGGAAGTGGTATTTTTGCTGATGTGGCATCTCATAACATGGTCATAACACCATGAACACCATTTCCCCATTGGTGTTATGACATATCTTGTTGGCGTTATGACATATTGAAACATATTGAAACGGGAACATTGATTGACTGTACATTTCTTCTCTCTCTATTTTTCTCCTCTTAACCTCCTCATAACATGGTCATAACACCATGAACACCATTTCTCCCTTGGTGTTATAAGGTGTTATAACACCACCTCAACGGGCACATACCTAATGGCCCTAAAACTGCTAAAAGGACTTTTGGACTTTTAACTTTTCTAAAAAGTCAAAAAATTCCAAAAGATATTTGGCAAATGAAAAAGTTTTTTTTAAAACAACTTTTTGTCATTAACAAAAATGAGTTTTTTCAAAAGTTATGAATTCTTATTTTTTGTGACTTTTGACTTTTAACTCTTACAAGTCTTAAAAGCCAAGTCAAACACATTTTAAACACATCTTTTAGAGACAGTTGTTTTACAAAAAGTCTTTTTATGAAAATGACTTTTATATTTAAAGAGGAATCCTAAACACACCCTAACACATGAAAATGACTTTTAAGTTTAAAGAGGAATCCCAAACACACCCTAACACGCCTTCCTCTCAAGGAGAAGTCAATGCCTCTTTATTTTGAGTAAATTACATGGATAGTCCCTATGGTTTGGGATAACTTGTGCGTTTGGTCCCTATCTTATTTTTTTTTAACTCGGATCGTCCCTATAACATGATTTTGTTGCATCATTGGTCCCCAAATGACTTAAAAAAGACTATTATACCCTTACGTATCTCTTTTCTAATTTTCTTTTATTTATTTATCATTTAAAAAAAACACAATAATCTTCACATATACCACCAGCCAAACAAAACACACTAAATTTTAATAGTCCCACGACCCCATCAATGGTCCACCCAAACCACCCCTTTTTTTCTTTTCCCGTTACAGGTGCTCGACCACTTCGTTTTTTCCAGCAAACCATTGACAAATACAGTCAAACACATATAAAATCAAAATACAATTTATCCAAATACAATCAAACCATGAATAATCGTTTTTGTTCATGAATAAGCAAAACTAGAAATACAATCTTGAAATCGAATCAAATGAACCTGAAAACATGAACAAGGAAAGCAAAAAAAAAATTGCTTTTTTTTCCCTGAGATAGGTAATCAAAATAAAACTGAAATCAAATTCAGTTCTGAGACCTGAAACCTCCTTAAAATTAGGTCTGATAATTCTCGACACGACCCGCAACACAACACGAAATAAACCGGTTTGGGTTGAGTTTTTCAACCCGTCAACCCGCCAACCCGTTATATTAAATAGGTCATATATGAGTTTCTCAAAAAATATACGAGTTGACCCGCCAACCCGTTTAGAATTTTAATAAAAAAATTATATGTTTTTTTAAATGTATTAAGTATTATACACTATACAGTTTATACTTTATACTAGGATAGGATACTCGATACCATTGACCATTTGACCCGTGGGTAACCATTTGCTGATTTGCATTGCAACACGTTTGGCGTTTGTCTTAAATAATTTCAGTATCTCACAAACAAAATCGAATAAGCCCTCTCCCGGTCTACCCTCTGTGATGAACGGCATAACGAACTCACGGATAACGGTTTTGTGACATGCTCATCAGGGGATTGGTTGTTCGTAAACGGGTTTGTCCGAGAGCTTTTCCTGTGAACACAACACAGAAGAATCGTTAAAGGACAACCGGGGGTTCTCCTGGGACGTCACTCCGACGATCAAGTTAGTCCTTAATTAGAGGGAGTTTTTAGGGTAAATTGTATGGAGAAGAAGATGGACCCCTTCCTTGAGCCAGAAGAGATCCTTTTATACCTGTTTCTAACGGAACGAAGTGAATCTCCCATGTGCGAGTGAGACGTGGCACCCTTTTATTGGGAGGTGTACGCCCACGATAATTAACTGCCAGGTGACGTCAGTTCTGGGCGTCACCAGGATCCTTTTCATGACCTCATTAGTTGTGAGAGAATGAGAAGATTACGAGGAATATTCTTTCCTCACAAGGAGAAGCGGGCTACCAGCTCAACACTGGCCTGCCCAAGCCAAAGCCGGGTACCGACCAAGGCCCTGGCATGATAACGCTTCGTTAGTACTTTCCGTTAAGTTTAACCTGGCCGCGTACGGTAACATTAACAAGTCCCTTAGACCAGTAGGCTTCTGCGTTTGTGACGTAGCAGAGTCGTTATGGTCTACTTGTAGACATGTGGCAGACGGTTTGCTAGTATGTACGGTCGTTAGGACGAAGTCACCGTTCTTTGGCGGTTTCATCATGAGACGGTTCACTACGCCTTTAGTAGCATTTAAGCCCTTTTTTCTCCAGGCGTTTCCTCATCACTCTATGCCTTTCTCTTTCTACTTTCTTCCTTCAAAGAACCCTTTCGACCTTTTCTTTGCGTTCTTCCATGGCTATCGATCGTCTTTCTGGAAGGGATCTTACTGCTGAAGAATGTGAGTCTTTTCAGTTCCGATTTGGGTTTGTCCCCAAACATGAGGTTCAAATTCCTCTTCCTGATGCATCGCTCTATAGTCCTCCCAAGGGCAAGGTCGGCATTCCGATTGCCTTATTCGAGGCGGGTCTACGTTTGCCCACTATGGACTTCTTTAATCTGATCATCTGTGAATATGGGTTTTCCGTGAAGGAGCTGACCCCAATCGCCATAAACAAGATAGTGAGTTTTGAACTCCTCTTCCGTGCCCTAGGCCGTCAGCCAACTGTCCCGACATTCAAGCATTTTTTCAATGCTTCCACCCAGTCTGGGACTCGAACCCTTTCTCGTAGGTGGGGAGTCCCTACCCTCATTCATGATAAGAAATCCAAGAAGAATTGGCAGAAGAAGTTTTTGTGGGTGAACAGCGATCTTGTGGTGCTTAGCTACCCGACGACTAAGGCGTATGTCGACCGCACTCCAACACTCTTTGGTGCTGACAAAGAACTGGCTGATGTCCTAGAGAATATCAGCATCAATGGTGAGGAACGGATCGACTGCTTCTTGGCCGCTGGCGGATGAGCGCCGCTTGGAGGGCTCGTGGGAAGATGCCCGAGTTTTTCGTCGAGAAAGAAGGTATGATGTTTCTTCTTCTGTTTTCTCTTGCTCTCCTCCCCCCTTTTACTCGATAAAGCGCGTTAAAGTCGGCGTTTTAGTTAACCGATGTTGTCTTTGTTTTGTTTCCAGGTGTGGAGGAGGTTATTTCCTTGGAGAAAGCTCTTCAAGGTTTATTTGACGGTGATCTTGAGTGTCGCGACGTCGACCTTGTAGAGACTTTTCCACCCCCTGTTTCTGGTCGGGGAATTGAGGTTATTGTCGGTTCAGAAAGTGTTGTTGGCACCGACGAGGATCTAGATCTGTAGGACGTTGTTGTTACTGGCGCTTCTTAGAAGGATCCTGCCCCTTCCGGGTCCCTAAGGAGTCTCCGTCGTGTCAAGAGACGATTTGCTTTCTTGGAAGCCTCTTCCGGCGGCAGTGCTGAGACGGTTAGCACCGAGCCCGCTTTTCACAAGAAACATAATCTGAGTTTCTTGCTAGGGGGTTCAAAGGGTTCCACTAGTGCCCCCGATGAAAGTCCTCCGAAACTGTTGGAGGGGGCACACAACAGGGCGACTGAACTGCCCGGTCATACAGAGAAATGAAACACCGACATGATCGGCCTTGATCCTAATGCTGGAGGAGCCAAGGCGAAGACTGGGTCTTCACCTTCGTCTTCGCCTTCCCGGGGTCTCGTGTCAACTTCTTCTGGTAAAACAGGAACTGTCCCCCCTTCTGCAGGGTCTCATTCAGGTGCCTGCAGGCCATCGTGGAGCCTAACCCCTAGAGACCCTGTGTCCGACCACGACACTGCTCTTGAGTGGTGTCGTCATTCT